GGTGTTACAGAGGTCTTGGATGGTCAGTCTGCGATCTTGCAGAATCAGATCCCTAACTTTCGCGGCATTTTCTGGTGTGGTGCCAGTTGACAGCCGTCCCGAACGATCGTCGTCATCAGTCAATGTTCGGCCATTTTTAAAACGCTTATACCAGTTGTAAGTTTGTGTCTGGCCTAAACTGTTTTCACCAAAAGCTTGCTTCAACATTTGGTGCGTTTCTGTAGCGGTTTTCCCAAGTTTGAAACAAAACTTTACACAGACACGCTGCTCTCTCAGGTCAGCCATCGCAAAACTGCAAACTCACGAAAACACAACAATGGAAATACGTTCACCAACAATAAACCCAACCATTCAACTCGACGCCGCTTGCCACACTGATTCAAGAAGGGTGTGTGAGGAGACACCTAGCGGTATTTCGATGTAGTCATAACCATTCGCGTGCAAAATTCAAATTTCGGAAACTTTTGGATTGCCCCACGTACAAATCGACTTCTGTTGTGAGTTACATAATAGTGAATAATAGAACCCATTTCTGTGTCTGGAAAGCAGTTTTATACTAAGGTGTTGAGAACATAACATTCTTTTGCTGTTTTCACATTGACTAAAGTGGTTTTCAGGGTTGAGTTGATGCTCAAAAGCATTCTGGCCAAACCAAAGTGATCCAGTTAAACAATACATTTAGCCTAACCAGAAGATAAACTATCAATTATGGTTATTTCTTCTGTGCTGAGATCTGTGGAAAAATGTTACAGCTTCTCCTTATGGAAATAGTTGTGTGTTCTTAATTACTATTCAACCACTTGCTTTGCTTTTCACATTCTTATTGTGGAACATGAGAATTTCTTTACCTTCAGAAGATATATGAAAGGTGCAGTGAATAAAATGGAGCCCTGTGACCCCCTGTGTGGCAAATGGGGATTTTATTTTTTATCACATTCAATAATGTGAATACATTTGGATTCTCAAATACATAAACTTAATATATTTTGAGCCATTCATTCCACATATATACCTGGCCTGTTTTATACATATTTCTGCTGCTGAATCTTTGAAGCAAGTTTGTGCTTATGGTGTATTCAGGGCAAGTGGTGATAAATAGCTTGGTATCAAGGAGTTCATGTGAAAATTGATATCTGTTAGTAGCATTAGAGAATGAACAGACCATTATAGAGCAGATTTTCAGTACAGGGTACAATGTAATCATTATGATATCTCCACAGACATGACATAGTACAAAATTATATGTGAAGATGGTCTGAGTGGGTGTATCTTCCATCCTGGTAGAAAATTTTTAATATTACATTGTACAACATTGTATAAATTAAAGACAGCTTGTACAAAATATCACAAAATTAAAGAGATGAAATAGTAAGCTTTTGTGGTATAAAATTATGTATTTTAAGTTGTATGTATTTTAAAGGTATAATAAACTATTTTATCTGTATGGAATAATACAGTAGAAAGAGGAATTTGACAAACGTCTCTGCTCATAAACATTTCACCCGAAGCTTCTAAATAGGATCTGTATGTAGGAAGAAGTTCTCACCTTTAGCAGACTTCTAGCCACCTGCTCACGCTGGTTCCTTGCTCGCGGATTTTTCTACCCTGAAGTTGGAGGTGATACATTCCCCCAAAACATTGATTCACACGATCTAGAAGACGGCATTCTTCATCAGTTGTGCCAGGTTTTGTAGAGCTGAAAGTGTTCTAAAAATCTTTATAAAACCGGAATCTTTTGTATTCACCTGCATTGTAGAATGCAAGAGAATGTCATTAGTTGCTTCACTGGGAAACTGAAGTGAGGTGATGAATACATCTAAAGAGGAATGTGATAATATCATTTTAAAATGTAGGTTCACGAATTCTGTCTCCATTTTATCCTTTCATTTCTTAATCCTTTCCTAGTTTCAATTTATTATTCGCCCACTGTTTCTGTTAACATTTTGAGTACTGTACATGTAACTTGTGAAGATCTGAGTTTCTTACAGCAGTAGATATGAAGACTGCCATATTCTGGGATATTTCGATGTATAGTCCGATAGAAGTTCACTACCAGTGTGTCAGAGGAGCATACTGCTTGCTTGTTCAGCTTACTCTTCAGCCTTAAAGATGAGGAGTATGTGTCTCAAAACCATTGTTATACTTCTATCAGACTGCATAGAATATCCCAGAAGATGGTTCGCAGGGGTCAATCCATGGTCTCTATCCTAAGCCAGATGAATTCAGTATACAACCTCCCCCTCTCTTTCTCATAAGCATTCCAAGACTTGTCCCTTTGCAAATTAAAAATTAATTTAACTTGTGAATATTAGATTATGATCATTGAGAGATATTTTAACTTTGGGATATAAATTGCATAATCTGCATGAAGTCTTTGCCAAGTTGAATTCAAAATTTAATTTCTGACCACGCAAAGTTTCACACTAGAAGTTATGTTGTTATCCTTTTTTATAAATACTCAGTTTGGATTTCTGTTGCATGTTGAATGCTTATTATATGACTCCTTTTTGTACAGACTGTATGCACTGTTGTGCATGATTTATTGTAAGTGCAAGAAAAGGTGCTTCTATCATTTTTGCTTTTCATTGTCATGACACTGTATGTGTCACTGGAGTAGTTACCATGGGAACTCAAGTCATAATCAGACCCCAAACACAGAACACCCATATCATCGGAATCTGTACAGTTGTTACGGAGATCAGTTACAAATATGACCAAATTATCTATATATTAAGCAAATTTCTACACACTGTTGCATGAAAGTTGAAGTTCAATCAAAGTGAATATTTCGATCTCCAACTGCTTGTCACATTGTTCATTAAAGTGGTATGAATAAACAGACAGAATATGAGTATGTGTTTGACAACCATTATGAAAATATTTGTCTCAATTTAACATTTATATCATTGCATCAGGATGCATTGTATTTAATGTGAATAAGTTTACAACTCTGCATGCATAAGTCTGCCCATTATCCTTCCTCTTATGTGTAAAGAGAGATGAAGCCACACTTTTTTTCATGATATTGTTGAATGTTTGACTGTAATAATACACAGCTATAAGAAAGATAAATAAATAAAATTAACATCAGTTCATGAATCTGACTGAAGATTCATCATTGCGCCAAATGATGAGCGATTGAAACATCAGACTGTAGATCTTGAACCTGAGGATGGACTGCTCCAATTATGACTTGAATATTTGGGTCAGGCAAATGCAGGATGTGGTCATAAGATTACGCGTATGTAATTGTGAAATATTTCCTATGGTCTTTTCTTAACAGCTGGAGAAGAAGTCATCAACTGTGGGAGTTCAGAAGAGAGTCCATCTCATTTCCAATATGGCTGCTTCTTCCAGAACAGGTACTAAGAGCACTGGTATGAATGTGACACTCCAGAAACAGATAACAGCAACTCTGGGCAAGTATAAGTTCCATCAGTGCTTAATTTGTTGCAGTATTGCAACTAATATACAGACATACAGTGAGATGTTTGAACACTTAAATATCAGCATATGATTTGCAAGAGTTTCAGACAGGAAAAATATTTCTTAATCGAAGTATTCTGCTTTCTACAAATCCTGTATGATAGCATACTGGTTTTGTATGACAATCACTCTTAATTTTTATTTTGGAACTCAGAAGCAGTCTGATCTTGGAGGCCACCTAGAGATTGTGCTCTTTTCCATAGACTTGATAGGAAAAGTGTCAGTAGCATTTGGTTTCAGCTTTTGGTGCGACGTTATGAAAACATCATGGTGTAGTGGTTAGCTGTCATGACAGATTTTCATGAAGTTCTATATTTCCTCCAAGCAATGATGGGATAGTATCTCACAGTAGGCCATGTTTGTTCCATTTTCCTCCAAAATAATTGCTCACAGTCATCCATCTGTTTGACATTTTGTAGCCTGTGGGGTTTACAAACTGAAATGGTTCCATTCTGGGGATGAAAGAGAATAATTTAACCTTTAACATATTGCTTATACATATCTCACATACTGCAATATTTTCTCACATGGCAGATAAAATTAATTTAACATCTGCTGAATACCTTTGTATGTTGTGCTGATATTGTGGGTCATCTGTTTTGGGAATATTAACTGATATCTACAAAATGTTTAATTATAAAAGCATATAATTGAACATGCAGTTGTATTAATCTTTAATTGTCTTTATAGGGGATTCAGTTTTCATGAAAACACTGTGATATTTAATTTAACCCTCACATCCTTTATGAATTGCATAAATTACTTAAAATTAAAAATTGTTCTCAGCTTCAGTCATTAGATGAATTTGAAAATGAAAGCTTTGTAACAGAGTTGGCCACAGGTTAAGAGCATACAGGCAACACCAAGGTGATTGCATCTTAAATTACCAAACACATTTACATGTATGAGTGATGAAAATGTGGACTAATGGTTAAAAATGAGGTGTAAACAAAGCTTTCATAACACTGCAAGAAATAATGGTTGAAGAGTACAGGAGTGTGGAGATTGTAGTTGATTACTCTTAGCACAGCACCCAGTATCTTGACACCAGAAACCAGGAAGATCAGGAAAGGTTTTATATAGCCAACTGATACATGGACAGTAAAGAACATGAAGTATTTGCTTGCATTTAAAAGAAATGGGGGGGGGTGTTGTGCGACTGAAAAGAAGATGGGAAAGTGTTACAAAATGGATATCAGAGAAGTAGATTGTGATGATATAAACCGAAGTTAACCTTTAAGTGCTGAAGTGCCCCGTTTGTGCCAGTGGTGAGTAAGGTTGTCGTGGCCAAAGTACCCCGTTTTGGCCAGTCGGGCATTTAAACTCCGCTAGGGGAAGCGCGCGCACACGCCGCTACTAGAACCGAATGCACAGTCCTAAATATTTATTTTTAAATGTAGTAATTACCAGACAGACTTGAGTAAAGCCCTAATAGAAAAATTAAAATGATACCTAGGTGAACAACAACAAAAAGAGTATACGTATGAGTTATGCCCAAACTTACCCACGAGCCAGTACTTTTATTGCAGATTCTGCAGAGTGTGTTAAAAATATATAGCAAAATTCGATGTGCATACTTTTTTTGTTATCTGCTTGATGTATATATAGGTTGAAACTAAACTACGGTATTCAATTTCACTATGAATGCACAGATAACAGATCACACTCTGTATCTCAGCCACGGTGCAACTGCTCGTTCATGATGATAGAAAGGGCAATAATCTCTTCCAGCTATAACAGAAGGTCTTAGCATTGAAGAAGGGACCCCTCGAAGCTTTTTCTTGAATACCCATGCTTTCATTCTTCTGTTTTAGTCAAAAGACTCAAAAATCTGAAGGCTGTAACAAAGTTGTAAGGTTTTCCAGCAGAGAACCAAATTATTTTATTGCTTCCATCTGTTTTCTGACACCAGGGACTGCTAAAATTTGTCAAGTGTTACAAACAGAAGTGAATTTATAATGCAGAACAACTCTGTGAAGAACTGGGAAACCGTTTTTGCAGTACGCATCAAAATTAAAAGAAAAAAGTTGAAAATAGCGTATAACATTTGGTATAAAAATGTTCATATCTTCCGTTATAATATGTGACACTATGTTCTTTGCTGATACAAACAAAGTTAGTTCGATCCATTTATCATAAAAATTGTGTAAGATACAGCATTTTTAAACACAATGCTTATAATTGTTTAAGTGCTCTAAGAGGAACGGACACTTAAACGCAGAGTAGCAACGGGCATTTAAACGTGCACCAGCAGTCGGCATATTTAAATAAACTCCGGCCAGCTCAAGTTTACCACCATTTCAAAAGTTCGGCGATTAACGGTTAAAACTACAAAAGGTCTACTAGACTCTTCTCTAACCAATGTTCAAGGATCAAGGAACATTTATTTTGTTT